GTGTGTGTGTGTGTGTGTGTGTGTGTGTGTGTGTGTGTGTGTGTGTGTGTGTAATTTACTGACCTGTGTATGAAAGCAGAAACTCTGTCCCACTTGTCGCTCCGCTTCGTGCGCCGGCGGATGAATGGTGTGGAGCCTGACTGAAATCAGGCGCTCTGATTGGCTGAGAGTTCCGGTGCCCCGCCCCCTTATTGTGACGTGTATGAAAGAGAAAAACGATAATAAACAAAGTGAAGTTTAGGGAAGAGGAAACAAACAGGTAGAAACACGGAGGTCGGTGGAGGAGCAGCGACTCTTTGAGCCTGATCAGGCCGGACTGAGAACGTCCTTCTGCGGGGGAGCGGCATGAGGAGGCCCGGGCCGCGGGGCTCATGGCCGCGGTGATCTGTGATGGAGCCGGGCGGGACGTCGCAGCGCAGCGGCCGGTCCGCAGAGTCCTGCTGGAGGGGTCACATCGTCCAGCAGCTAAAACACCGAGACCGGAGCCAGAATGCCATGTTTCAGGACCTGATCCGGTTCTGTACGAACTTTTGTTTTTGTTTTATTTGTTTTAAAAGTCCGAAATCAGTTTCCGCCAAACTCCATTCAGAAATCTGCAGATTTAACAACAAACTGTTCTGGAGGCTGGTAGAACCTCCAGAGCTTTAATTTGAAAACACTTTGGTTCTGAAGACACCTCACATTCACCAGCTGCATGTCTGAGCTCCAGAACCGAACCGAACCGCTCAGAGCATTTATTTGGTCAACATGTGGGTCAAGAAGTGGTTGACAGAGTAAAACAACAGGTTGGTGCACTTCCTGTAAAGTGACTCATGTGTGACAGATAATCTGCTGCTGGTTCATCATCTGTGTACCGAACCGAGCCGAACCGGCTGCCTGCAAGACTTCTGGACACCAGCAGGTTCTGAACATATTTATGTGTAGGAGAAAGTGTTTGTCTGAGAAATGTGAAGAATTCTAAATGGAGTTTGGTGTGAGTGTGATTTATTCAAACATTGAGTTAGCTGATATTTATATATTACATATTTCATTTATTTTATATAATTATAAAAGGTTAATGTGTTTATTACCTCTTAATAWAATTTATATCATATAATGTAATAGAATAATCACTAATAATAATAATTTCTTCATGTTATAATGTTATTGTTAATAGCTTTAAATCTTACTCGGCTGTTGTTGAAATCTAAAATAGTAAATGTGATTATGTGGTACAACTGCCTGCCGTACATGGTGCTAACTCTAACAGACCAACAGGCAGAGATGAGTGTGCACGTGACACTTTATTACAAACACTCACTCACTGCAGGCTGGTCCCATTCAGACCAGAACCAGAACCAGGTTTCTCCTCTGACTCGGTTCTGTGCTTTCAGACACTCAGCTGCTGGAGAAAACCAGTCTGACGAAAGGACTCCTGAGCAGGTAAGGCACCTGAACAGGTAAGGCACCTGAGCTGCAGCTGCAGGTGTTCGACGGAGACTCAGGGTGTGTTTGTTTTGTTTACCCAGACACCCCTGGGCTGCTGGTGGCTCCTCCCTCTCGTCTGTGCCGCAGCAGAACAGTCAGCTGAAGGAGACGACGGGAGAGGTGAGAACACCTGGATGAAGGTGAACCCTCAGGTGTGTTTTCGGTCGGTCCAACAGGAAGTGTGTTTGTGTGTCTGCAGCTGGCCTATCAGGTGGTGGAGCTGCAGCAGCAGATCAGGGACAAAGAATGTGTGGTGCAGGAGCAGCGCACCAGGTGAGACACACACCTGTACCTGAACCTGTCTGCTCACCTGGCCCACCTGAACTGCTTGTTGTGACACAGAAGCTGCTGCAGGTGGCAGGTTGTCACATTAATGACTTCACCTTAACATCTCGGCATATTGGAGACACTTTCTGAAATAACAGATTTTTGTCAAAAATTTCTGAATTTTAATTTTTTATTTAATCTAAAGTAGAAATTTAAAACTAATATTTTATTTTACTTTATTTTTAAACTCTTTTTTACACTTTCAAAACAGGCAGGGTGTGTTTGATGGTTCTGTTATCCTCCTGTGTGCCGGGTGGAGACAGAAACAGAACCTCTGGTTCTGGTTCTGGTGAACAGTTCCATCATGGTTACTGATGAAGATGATGGCAGTAACTCCTCTTCCTCTATGTTCCCAGGCTGCAGGAGGAGGAGTCTCGGCTGGCAGGTGTGTTTGATGCTCACCAGGCGCTGCAGGAGCGGGTGGAGCAGGTTCAGGTGGAGAACAGGACACTGAAGATGGAGTACGATGCTCTGTTGGAGCGTCAGAGGTGGGCGGAGTCTAGACTGAGGGAGGAAAAGGTACAAGAAGAACACCTGCTGGAGGACCTAATGTACCTGAAGAAGCAGGCCGCCTCCCGCATGAACACCCGCAACGAACGCCGCTCCAGGTGTCTGTTTACATCACACCTGTCTAACACACCTGTTTATATCACACCTGTCTAACACACCTGTTTACATCACACCTGTCTAACACACCTGTTTATATCACACCCGTCTGACACACCTGTTTACATCACACCTGTCTAACACACCTGTTTATATCACACCTGTCTAACACACCTGTTTAAATCACACCTGTTTACATCACACCTGTCTAACACACCTGTTTAAATCACACCTGTCTAACACACCTGTTTACATCACACCTGTCTAACACACCTGTTTATATCACACCTGTTTACATCACACCTGTCTAACACACCTGTTTATATCACACCTGTTTACATCACACCTGTTTATATCACACCTGTCTAACACACCTGTTTATATCACACCTGTCTAACACACCTGTCTAACACACCTGTTTATATCACACCTGTCTAACACACCTGTTTACATCACACCTGCCTAACATACCAGTTTATATACAGTAACACCTGTTTACATCACACCTGTCTAACACACCTGTTTACATCACACCTGTCTAACACACCTGTTTACATCACACCTGTTTATATCACACCTGTCTAACACATCTGTTTACATCACACCTGTCTAACATACCAGTTTATATACAGTAACACCTGTTTACATCACACCTGTCTAACACACCTGTCTAACACACCTGTTTATATCACATCACACCTGTCTAACACACCTGTTTATATCACACCTGTTTACATCACACCTGTCTAACACACCTGTTTATATCACACCTGTTTACATCACACCTGTCTAACACACCTGTTTACATCACACCTGTCTAACACACCTGTTTACATCACACCTGTCTAACATACCAGTTTATATACAGTAACACCTGTTTACATCACACCTGTCTAACACACCTGTTTATATCACACCTGTTTACATCACACCTGTCTAACACACCTGTTTACATCACACCTGTCTAACACACCTGTTTACATCACACCTGTTTATATCACACCTGTCTAACACACCTGTTTATTATCACACCTGTCTGACACACCTGTTTATTATCACACCTGTCTGACACACCTGTTTACATCACACCTGTCTGACACACCTGTTTGGGTCAGAGCTCGACAGGCGACGCTGCAGAAGGAGCTGCAGATGGCTGCCAGGTCAAAGGTCAGCTGTGACAGGTGAGTGTACCTGAGCTCAGACTTCAGGTAGAAGTTATTGAATTTGTTAGTTTTGTTACAAACTTTACCTGTTAAATGAGTTTCAGATGTTTTTGAGTCAGAATCTTTCAGCTGTTGATGATGAAGATGTTCAGGAGTCTTCATCACAGCTTCTTGTTTTCCAGTCCGTCCAGTGCTCCGTCCTCCAGGTCCTCGTCTCCAAAGACCCAGCACCGGGACGAGTCCAACAAACGAGTTCCAGCCCGTCTGTTCAGGTCAGTCCGCTCTGACCGGTTCTGACCGGTTCTGATTGGTTCTGATTGGTTCTGACAGGTTCTGATTGGTTCTGACAGGTTCTGACACAGGTTCTGACAGGTTCTGATTGGCTCTGACCGGTTCTGATTGGTTCTGACAGGTTCTGACACAGGTTCTGACAGGTTCTGATTGGTTCTGACAGGTTCTGACACAGGTTCTGACAGGTTCTGATTGGCTCTGACAGGTTCTGACCGGTTCTGACAGGTTCTGATTGGCTCTGACCGGTTCTGATTGGTTCTGACAGGTTCTGACCGGTTCTGACAGGTTCTGATTGGCTCTGACCGGTTCTGATTGGCTCTGACCCGTTCTGATTGGCTCTGACAGGTTCTGATTGGTTCTGATT